AAAAAAAAAAAAAAAAAAAAAAAAAAAAAAAAAAAAAAAAAAAAAAAAAAAAAAAAAAAAAAAAAAAATCTTAAATTATATTAAAAAAAAAAGTTTAAAAAATATTTTTTAACTAAAAAAGTTTCAAAAATGCTATTTTACAAAAGTTTCGTTAATATCTTTAAATTTTTTAAAAAAGTTTAAAAATATTTTTAAGTTTATAGCATGTTTTAAACATGTGGGTCGTGTGTAGAAAAGTACTACACATTTAATTTTGTCTGTGGATTGGAGGCCACCCTTATAATGATTTTAACGATTGGTCTCTAGATTATGAGTTGTATGTGTTTGCATTCCTTGACCCTAATAGTGAGGTCACTTACAGAGTATTTTTTAAAATACTCAAGCCATGTGCTAGCAAGGTACCCCTGTACGACTAACAACGACATCACAAGTAGAGACCATGACACGTGCATAGGATAATAGTATTTCATTTTCTTACACTTACAATAGTACAGGGTGTTTTTACCTTTAATGTTTTAGTTGTTTTTTATTTATTATTTCTTTATATTATTTTAAAGATGCTTTAATACGTAAGTCAGGACAGTGTTTTAAGATGAAGTTTTAAATGTTTATTCTGCATAAGAGCATAGGTTATGATGACGGTAGCGACTTTAGATTGATAGAAATTTAGGGTCGTTATAAGAGCGGTACCTCTCATAGTAAAATATGGTTCAAGGACGAACGAAGGCGGACGCTGATGGACATGCGATACCCGAGTAAAGGAGGGGTACATGAGTGAACTGATACCACATTCGAATGAGAGCAAACTTGAGGATAAGATGACTAAGAAAGACTTAAAGGAAATGAAAGTTAGGGACGAACCAAGGTGGGAGCTGATGGGAATGTAACACCCAAGTAAAAGAGGGGTACATGAATGAACCCGAGACCACATCTGAATCAGAGCTATCTTGAGGATAGAATGACTAAGAAAGACCCAAAGAGAACAATAATAGCGGAGACCATTTATTTTATTTTTAAATATATTTTCATATTAATAATTAAAATTAATTTGTAGTTGGGCTTTTTCCCGGCCCGTAATAGTGGGCCTGGGCCTTTACAAAGTTCGGGTTCCTTATAAGTATCTAAAACCCTAATTTACAACCTACCAGATCGAAGTTCAGTTGCAGCAGCAGAGGGACGGGGGAACCAGCGCCATGGGGAGAAGTATTTTTCTTTCTTCTTCTTATAATGTCTTCATAGAATCTTGTGTGATTGCTTTTCATTGTTTTTGTATTTGATTTTGATTTTGATTTTGATTTTGATTTTGATTTTGATTTTGATTTTGATTTTGATTTTGATTTTGATTTTGATTTTGTAGGACCTGCTAGATGTTACCGCCAAATTAAGAACAAACCCTATCCCAAATCGCGATTTTGTCGCGGTGTCCCCGATCCCAAGATCAGGATTTATGATGTTGGAATGAAGAAGAAGGGTGTTGATGAATTCCCATTCTGTGTGCATCTTGTGAGTTGGGAGAAAGAAAATGTGTCCAGTGAGGCTTTGGAAGCAGCTCGTATTGCATGTAATAAGTACATGTCGAAATTTGCTGGGAAGGATGCGTTCCATTTGAGGGTCAGAGTGCACCCCTTCCATGTTCTTCGAATTAACAAGATGCTTTCGTGTGCTGGGGCTGATAGGCTCCAAACTGGCATGAGAGGTGCTTTTGGTAAGCCACAAGGAACTTGTGCAAGAGTTGCCATCGGTCAGGTTCTTCTTTCAGTTCGATGCAAGGACAACAACAGCCAACATGCTCAGGAGGCCCTCCGCCGTGCTAAGTTCAAGTTCCCTGGTCGTCAGAAGATCATTGTTAGCAGGAAGTGGTATGCCCCTTGACTGGGGAGTGTATTAAGTTTCGTGTGTTAGTGTGTGCACTTTTCATATTCTTATTTCTTTGACTGGGATCTGAGGAAACCTTTTTTTGGGGCCTAATTTGATTGAATGATGATTGTTCAAAATTTTCTTTCTCAGGGGATTCACTAAATTCAGCCGAGCTGATTATCTTAAGTTCAAGTCAGAGAACAAGATCATGCCAGATGGTGTTAATGCAAAGGTATCTGATATTGTGGATAACCGTATACTGTTTCATCGCTGTTCTAATTGTTGGGAGTGCCTTGATCTTATTTGTTTAAAAGCACAATATATAGGGGAATGAATCTAAACGTAGATAGGGGAGGCTGATTTTTGTTCCATTTAAAAGGAATTGCAATGCATTAAACTGAAAAAATTACGAAGCGCTTGATACAATGTCCAGTTGAAACTAAAGAAGCCTAGGGCACGACTTTAAGGCAAACGGCATGGTTATTACCTTAGAATGCTTTGAATGGGGCTTCCTTCTTAGCAATTAGGACCATATTTTCATGCATGTTCTAATTTTTCTTGGTTGTGCATCACTTATAAGCCATAACCACAGAACCCATATGTTCATATATTTCTGTAGTTTGTTTGGAGTTGCATGGTTCTTACTCTTTTATTTGTTAACTTATGGTGTGGAAATTGGACTGTGCAGCTTCTTGGATGCCATGGACCTCTCGCTAACCGTCAGCCCGGAAGAGCTTTTCTATCTGAAGCTGCCTAAGTTAAGCTAGTTAATTTTCCGTTTTTAAATTTATATGGAATTAGTGTCAACATTATTACCATTGTCTCTGTTTGAACTTTGTGAAATCAGCGATTTCCTATTTGCTGTGGCTTATTACTTTTTGAAATTTGAATGTAACTTTGTTTGTTTTGACCATATTAGCTCGTTATGCCGACAGTTTTGATTTAATACCAAGTTGCTTAAGCGGGGAACTAGCCCATTTGCAAAGACTTTTTTTTTTCTCTTGTGCAATATCTGGGGCAGATTGGTTTCCTTTCTATATACTCTTATTTGTTAGGTATGTTTCACTTCTCTTCTCATTTCAGTTTCAATTTCCACTGTCAGAGCATTTTTGAAACGCAACTCCTAACTAGAGATGTATTTAGATATCCGTTTCCTGTTCATGAAATGGTTAGTTCCAACTTTTGATCAAAATGAGGAGTCTTTCAGAACATAGAGTTTGGTGTCAAGTCCCAATGTTTATGCTGTTACTTTCTTTATGATTGGAGCTAGATACCTTTCCTGCTTGTTTCTCTTTCTTGCAAGTTCTTCTACCAGTTGATTGATTCTTTTCTCCTTTCCTTTTGAGAATCTTGTTCATGCGGGTGCTTGTGATTTTCCCATCCATCTTTTGATTCTATTTCGTGTTTGTGCACACTGTAGCCTTCAAAAACCATTCTGGGGACTTTTCCATTTTGATTTTCGATTGGCATGGGTGGAGCCAATTAGTTTTCGGATGAAAAATAACTATTCCATGTTCAAGATTGCCCAAGAAAAAGCATCATCTCTTAAAGACAGTATACAAAAAGGCTATTTTGTAGTGAAGATGGTGTTATGAATAACTATTATAGGTTAAAAATAGATTTGTCAATACCAACATATTTTCAAGGTAATGGATATATGCCATATCTTCACTCTTTTATAGGATTCGCTATAGCTATACAAGAAACAGGGGCTGTTAGAATTCACACAAAAATGCTATAGAGGTAAATGATTATGGTAGCCATTTAAACTCCTTAGTCAAAACTTTTTGAGAGTGTCTTCAACCTAGGTGTTTTCTTAGTTGTTTTATAAGAAGCTAACACATTATTATTATTATTGTTAGTTGTTTTTGGCATGTTACGCACTATCGTTAGTTTCACGATTTTAAAATATGCCTATTAGGTAGAGAGTACGAGTTTTGTTCCTCTTTCTAATCTGTGGGGTCCTCTCTCTAACCGATGGTGTATGTTAGCATAGCAGATATTATTTACTTTGGCTTATTAACCTCTACTAGGAAGAGTTTTGTACATGCTTGTAACAACTACGTTTCTCCCTCCGATCGATGTGGGGTTCTTATACCATTTATAAAACTCAAACTCACTTAGTATTTAGTACTTTTGTGATTCAAAGAGCCAATATTGAGGTTAGTCGCAAGGTTTGGGAACAACAGAAGACATAAAGAGGAGATGGGTTCTATATTGCACGACTCTCGTAAAGAGATCTTAAAGAAAACTTGTGATTGCTCGAATGTTCGGGAGTAGAACTTTCTTTGTTTATATTCCCTTAAAAAGTGTAGGTGTTAATGGATTTATCCACTCTAAGTTTCATCCTCCCCTGTTGGTTGACTGGACATTCTCAGTATCCCTAGAAAGGCTGAGAATGATCAGAGGTGTCAATATCCCCTTATTCTCATTCTAAGCCTCCCCTTATTCTCATTCTAATAGAAAGGCTGAGAATGATCAGAGGTGTCAGTATCCCCTCATTTTTATTCTAATAGAAAGGCCGAGAATGATCAGAGGTGTCAGTATCCCCTCATTTTCATTCTAATAGAAAGGCCGAGAATGATCAGAGGTGTCAGTATCCCTCATTTTCATTCTAATAGAAAGGCCGAGAATGATCAGAGGTGTCAGTATCCTCTCATTCTCATTTTAATAGAAAGGTCGAGAATGATCAGAGGTGTCGGTATCCCCTCATTTTCATTCTAATAGAAAGGCCGAGAATGATCAAGAGGTGTCAGTATCCCCCTCATTCTCATTCTAATAGAAATGCCGAGAATGATCAGAGGTGTCAGTATCCCCCTCATTCTCATTCTAATAGAAAGGCTAAGAATGATCAGAGGTGTCGGTATCCCCTCATTCTCATTCTAATAGAAAGGCCGAGAATGATCAGAGGTGTCGGTATCCCCTCATTCTCATTCTAATAGAAAGGCCGAGAATGATCAGAGGTGTCGGTATCCCCTCATTCTCATTCTAATAGTTAGGTTGAGAATGATCAGAGGTGTCAGTATCCTCTCATTCTCATTTTAATAGAAAGGCCGAGAATGATCAGAGGTGTCAGTATCCTCTCATTCTCATTTTAATAGAAAGGCCGAGAATGATCAGAGGTGTCGGTATCCCCCTCATTCTCATTCTAATAGAAAGGCTGAGAATGATCAGAGGTGTTGGTATCCCCTCATTTTCATTCTAATAGAAAGGCCGAGAATGATCAGAGGTGTCGGTATCCCCTCATTCTCATTCTAATAGAAAGGCCGAGAATGATCAGAGGTGTCGGTATCCCCTCATTCTCATTCTAATAGAAAGGCCGAGAATGATCAGAGGTGTCAGTATCCCCCTCATTCTCATTCTAATAGAAAGGCCGAGAATGATCAGAGGTGTCAGTATCCCCCTCATTCTCATTCTAATAGTTAGGTTGAGAATGATCAGAGGTGTCAGTATCCCCCTCATTCTCATTCTAATAGTTAGGTTGAGAATGATCAGAGGTGTCGGTATCCCCCTCATTCTCATTCTAATAGTTAGGCTGAGAATGATCAGAGGTGTTGGTATCCCCTCATTTTCATTCTAATAGAAAGGCCGAGAATGATCAGAGGTGTCGGTATCCCCTCATTCTCATTCTAATAGAAAGGCCGAGAATGATCAGAGGTGTCGGTATCCCCCTCATTCTCATTCTAATAGAAAGGCCGAGAATGATCAGAGGTGTCGGTATCCCCCTCATTCTCATTCTAATAGAAAGGCCGAGAATGATCAGAGGTGTCGGTATCCCCTCATTTTCATTCTAATAGAAAGGTCGAGAATGATCAGAGGTGCAGGTGCAAGGACGTTTACTCTGTTACTCTGTATATCTTTTTAATCGAAGACATACATTGAATTGGAACCGTTTTATCTAATACTAGTATGCGCTACAAGTTAAAAATAAAATATTTTTCTTTGTATAACTAAATTTAAAGTTGAAAACGCTTTTAAATGTGCGGA